ATGTTTTGAGGGAGAAGACTATGAATAATCATGACCATTCTTTTGGACAATATTCACTGTCTTGAGGTTTATCAAATAATATTTCTGAATCAGCAGTATTGAGACTAGCTCTTTCTAATAGGTCCAAATGAGTAGGGACATTTCCTCTCTTATACCTGCTGATCGAAACAAACAGTTTCAAGAACACTGCCTGAAAAAGCTCAAGACAATGCACAGCGTCCAAATAATGGATATATTTATTGTTATTCACCATCATCAGAGATATTTAGATTTTGCCTAAGAAGACAGGATGGTGCAGTGGAATTGAAGACTAAATTCAGATTCAAGATGTAAAGAGATCTCACAGTCCTTTCCTGATGCAGACACCGACCCACAGTACCTGAGTGATGATGAAACTATTCCAGTGGTAAAAAACAAAGAAGAAACTTAAATTAAATAAGAGAGTGGTTAGAATAGCAAAACATCTTTATGTACAAAATAATATTAGTGTTCTACCTTCTACCTTCATATAGATTCTGCTTATATGCAAAGTGAATATTCTTAATTTCACAGATCATTGTAGGTAGTGGGTATAACGTTCATTATATTGTATACCTTAAAGCACAGGTATTCAGTCTGTCCCCTGAATTTGACATTATACTAAACAGTACTGTACTGATTAGCAAAAGTTCTTATATAACAGGGGATTTGGGAAACTGCACAAGTGCCCAAAGAAGAGGCTTGGCTTCCTGTTTCACCACCTCCCTCCCAACAAAGAAGCCTTACAACATGCACCATATTACTCTTCAGCCCTATAACAAGATATATATAACAGGTCACACAATATAGACTCAAGGCTACAGTGCTTACTGTCCACATAAGGGATCTCAGTCTCATTCAATTTAGACAATATGGAACATACTCAACCTTGTTTCAAGAAGAGAGAAGACTGGAGAGGGTGTTCTCCATAATGTAGCACAGAAAGGCATTCTCTGAAATTTACTAAGCTTACTTAAAAATAGAATAATGAAATTAAAATTAGTAAAAGTCTTCCATACCTCAATGCTATCTCTGCAAGGGTTTATTGCATATGCCTTTGGGGAAAAGCCACTTATGACCTTATACAAATTAAACTTTATTAAGCGGCAATATGCATCAAAATTGGCGTTTCTGGACAACAGTTTTCGGATGTCTCTTATACTGATTTCCAATAAAATTTATGAAACAGTTTGGGAAAAGTCCATTTATGTCCTACATAAAGTATACATTTTTTTTGCATTTGCACTATGTGTACCTTGCTTACTGAATGTATTTTGTTTTGTATCATACCCTTTATGTTATAGTTTTTCCTTGTTAACGTCTACTGCCACCAGGTGAATACCCAATTGCAGTAAAAGAAATAATAATAATAATTACATATGAAAACTGGAATTGCCCAAGGTTTTGCAATGTTTTTCTGTATAAGAGAATAGCCTCTTCACCCCCAATCACTTTTAAAGCATCAGACCTTGTTTTCTACATCAGGGCATTAGAAGATATCTCACCCTTACATATAGCAACCTGGTGATCATGCAAACTTCCAATTCAACTATGAATATAAAATTGTATGTGCAATAATCATAAACAGATGTATCAAACTTTCATGAAACAATTATTTTTTGTATATTAAAGCTTAGAAACAAGATGGTAAGGTAAATATCTGAGGATATATATAAAAAATTACAGGTAATAAAATCAATAACAGCATAAGGTAACAATCATCTTCATAAAGAAACAAAATTATAAACATGTTAAGTTCAGAACTGTATTTCCCGATGTTGTTATTATTATGGGCAATTCTTGAGAGAAATATAACAGACCAGTAAAAAATCTTAAGAAGCAATTTCTTTTACAGGTTAATTTACCATGCTTTCAGTATCTAGATGACACAGCTTCAAATGGTAGAACAAATAATGAATAATGAACTGGAAAGGATTTTGAAGCAGTCAAGACCTAACTGAGGTACTCCATTGGCATTTGCTTGAAGGGACCAAGGAAAACCACAAAAAAACCTCAGTCAGGACAACCAGTCTCAGTTAATACTGAAATTCAGCAGCTCCTGGATGCAAGTTCAGAGTGTTACCACTAAACCAATCTGCACATTGCCAATTTTTGTTGTATAAATCTGTGCCATCATGTAAATACTGTAATTATAACCAGAAATGTTAATTCTAGATTTTTGTTCATCTCATGACTTGTAAAGGGCTTATGGACCACCATCAATTTGCCTGTGAATAGCTGGTGATCCATAAACAGGTATGATACTCGTAGTTGGGAAGTAACATTTAAATACTTATTTATTATTCTCAGGAAAAGTTGGAGACAGGTGGGAGATGGAAAACAACAGTGGAGCTCAGACCAATATGTGATCAAGCCTGTCCATTTTCATGCATATACTGTTTATTAGCCTGATCAACACTAGAGTTTATGAACCTAATCAGTGTCTATCAGTTATATAACAAGATATTTTTATCTGCAATATCTAGCATCAAGTCCATTCAAAATTACAACAAACCAATTTAGAAAATATGTATATTCCAAATTCCTGTTATCTTTTTCATCTCCATGCCACCTGCATATTGGTTTGTTCTGCAGAATTGTGTCCTGGAATTTGAAATAATCTGAAAGCTACTTACTATGACACGGCTTTGGCTTTACAGGATGTTAGGAAATTTCTCAAACATGCATTAAAATGTTTGGTATCTTATTTGACTTCTTGGAAGGTGTAAAGGATTGGGCTACATTCTGCCAAATGCACAAGTTTGTTCCTTTGCTGATGTGGAATGATGAACAAATTGAAAGCAATTCATCATGTATAAATAATGAAAATTAATTTCAACGAGATATGAGAGTGAATACACAACATGTGAGACTTCAAGTTCTCACAGCAGTAATTATATACACGTACATCAACTATTCATAGACTTCAAAAAAGCCTACGATTCAGTTAGGTGGGAAGTATTGTACAATATTATGATAGAGTATGGGATACCCATGAAACTAGTTAGGTTGATTAAAATGTGTTTAAATGAAATGTATAGTAAAGTCCATGTAGGTAAACATCTGTCTGATAAATTTCCTATCTAGAATAGTCTAAAACAAGGAGATGCTTTATCGCCATTCTTTTTCAACTTTGCTTTAAAACAGGCCGTTAGGAAGGTCCAGGGAAACCACGTGGGACTGAAATTAAATGGGACACATCAGCTGTTGGTCTATGATGATGATGTGAATCTACTGGGTGATAATATATATACCATAAAGAAAAACACATAAACTTTAACTGATACAAGTAAGGAGGTTGGTCTAGAAGTAAACACAGAGAAAACTAAGTATATGTTGCTGTCTCATCAACAAAATGCAGGGCAAAATCATGACATAAAGATACAAAACAGATGTTTTGAAAATGTGGCACAGTTAAGATATTTGGGAACCACGATAACAGAGAGAAACCTGATTCAGAAGGAAATTAAGAGGAGATTGAACTCGGGTATTGCTTGCTACCATTCAGTCCAGAACCTTTTGTCTTCCCGCCTGCTGTCCAAAAACATACAAATTAGAATATACATAACTATAATTTTGCCTGTGGTTCTGTATGGATGTGAAACTTGGTCTCTGACACTAAGAGAGGAATACAGACTGAGGGTGTTTGAGAACAGGGTGTTGAGGAGAATATGTGGACTGAAGAGAGATGAAGTGACAGGAGGTTGGAGAAAACTGCATAATGAGGAGCTTCATAATTTGTACTCTTCTCCAAGTATAATTAGAATGATCAAGTCAAGGAGTATGAGGTGGGCAGGGCATGTAGCACGAATGGGGGAGACGAGGAATGCGTATAGGATATTGTGGGAAAGCCAGAAGGAAAGAGACCACTGGGAAGACCAAGGCATAGGTGGGTAGACAATATTAAAATGGATCTTACAGAGATAGGATGGGATGGTATGGATTGGATTGATCTGGCTCAGGATAGGGACCAGTGGAGGGCCCTTGTGAACATTGTAGTGAACCTTCAGGTTCCATAAAATGATAGGATTGTCTCGAGTAGCTGCAGAATTGGCGGCTCTTCCAGAAGGGCTCAGCTCCATGAGTAAGTAAGTACTGTCTCCTGGGATATGACAAAATGTAGTCTGGTACAAGTTTATTGATGTCTGGGAGAAATGTACTGTCTCTATCTCCAGGGTTCAAGAGTAAGTCAAATATGCAAGCAGCAAGTCATCTTTGACCATGGAAATGGAGGCAGTATATTCCTCTGGAATACTGGTGAACTTTTACCAGACTACATGATTCTGCATTACAGAAGACAGTACTCTTCAAATTCATGTAAGTTTGTAAATGACAAGACAAATTTTCCAATGCTGGCAAACCCATTTCAAGTCATTTAAGCTAATCCATAGGTTTGCATGCACAATTTTTGCATTCAGTGCCTCCTTACAGTTGCATATTTAATGATCTTTCATAATTCGTTGTATATTAGACACTGACTTTTGCCAACCACACCTTTAATATTTCTTATCAACTATCAGGTTTTCAGAAGAATAAAGTCAAACTTCAATAACTCATCTACCTTCTAGGCAAACAAACATTAATCAACTTTGATAATTAAACTGAGACTTTCTCTTTAATACCATGTTTAAGTAATATGTTCTTTACATAACCTTCTGTCTGCCTGTTTCATATCTGAAACTACTAAACAGAATTCATTGAAATCTGGAAGTTGGGTGGTGGTTTACACTCTTAAATTTTCAGGCAAATTTAATTTCAATTTGTAACCTCTACTTTTCATGAAGGTCTTTATTAACTTCTTGGCTTATCATACAAAAACTTGGTACACAACATAAAATATTGAACTCATTAAGATGTAAAGCTTTTAATGAAACTGTTTACATAGAGAATATTTTTATGAAACCAACTGAAAATAATTTATTTCTGTCATTTCTGTACTGTTATTAAGTTTGGAACAAAAGATTTTTATGAATAAATGAATATTAATGACAATGAGTTTTTATTTACTTTATTTGTTGTTTACATTAATAACACTGCCAGGAATGTCAGACTATATAGTGCCATGTGACAGTAAATATTCATTATTTGTATGTCACAGATATTCATTTTGATTCTACAAAATTATTCAGTACACCTTACAGAATCCAACAATTGCACTGAAGTACAAACAACAGTCATGTCCAATACATGGAAAGCTAAAACTACGCACTGAGCAAACTGAAGCAGCTGGTAACAGCTGTCACATTAAATCAGTACGTATGGTGGTAATTTATTGCCATTTGCGGCTATACGCAGTATGACAGTAACACGTAAATTTTTGTAGCCTGTGGTTTTCACTGCCACTTGTTTTGCCCCTTTTAAATTTATGCTACAATTGCAAGGCATGTCAAGAAACTGTAGTTTTTATCAGCATTACCAATTTGACTTAAAGAATACTTATTCCTTTGGCATAATGCAATAACAAAACACTGAAATTCAATCAGTTTATTTCCAAATTCTGAAGGAAGTTTCTGACTAATTTTTGTCCTTCATCATAATGATAAGCTTCCTCTCTTCATAAACTTTTCACACCATCCATGACTAGTACATTACTGTTTCTAGCACATTCTTTTGCTTTTGATATTCAGGCTTTCCTAGTTACAGGTAATCCTTTATTTCATAAATCTTTGAAATATTCTAAAGCAGAAGCATCAATCTCAGGATTTCTCTCTTTCCTTGGTACAGAAAAAGGGGTTATACTTGTCAGACATGAAAATTGTTTTGTTTTTATATTTCGCCAATGACGTATACTGTCTCACTTACTGTATACTTTCTACCATCTGCATGATTACATATCTTCTCAGTGCAAAGAATAGCTTTTCTTTTGAATTCATCATCGAATGTAAAATGCTTTTCCATGGGTAAAAACTGATAGAAAAATGGCCACACCTGACAAATAAGAATGTCAGGCGATGACTGAACTGAAAGTTGGGGAATGACTCAGTTAAAGGTGGAAGGATGATGTGGCTTGATGGCTCACATCAAATGTGTTTACATTAGGTTCTTCCCAGGCTACCCTGTGGACAGTTTGCAAGCTGGTTAATAATTACTAAATTTAAAATGCACCTCAATTTTTCAACAGAAAAAATGTGAAAAATGTGCATATTATATTTGAAGTAATAAGGCACATAACTTTTATCAGACATGAATTTCGTAAACTGCATTTTTGGGGAACTTCTTAAAATAAAAATTTGATATCAGAACACATCAGTGATAATATCAATTAATCTTGTAATTCTGTGAATGATAGTATTCTAAAAAGAATTCCTTTCACAAAGGAAAAGAATATTATCAATAATAGACCAGACATATTAGGAATGTAATTTCAGGAAATAAGCAGTACCTTGTGATGAATGGAATAAATACACTTTCTTCTCTGAACAAAATCCTGCCCAGACAGATAGTCTGCCATGCAAGATTGTCTAGTGTGTGAAAACTTCTAACACCTGTTTACTAAGTACTATAGCAAGATGTGAATGCAAATCTGAATTACATGCTGTTGAGTATTCACCTCCAGTGATCCACTGCAGCTTGCGTCTACATGAATGCATGCATTTCAGTGAAGCTGAACTTCCTTCTACTTTTACAAATCACAACTCTTCTGTCAGTCTCATGTCCATGCATTTTCCTTTACCGTTTCTCGGTATGAACACATTTGTGTTGTTTTTCATAAGTGTAATTAGTTACAAACCAGTACAAAGTGGCTATTTGAATCAGTCATCCATAATCCTCTATTTACCAATGACTTCATGTAGACACAAGGTGAGAAAATGCACAGATAACATATTCCAGGAACAGAGCTTCAGTATTACAGGATCTATCCATATTGCTTAATCAAACAATAAAAGAGAGTAAAAGACATGTTAGAAAGCTGCAATGATATGACACAGATATATACTGAACATTATGTGGCATAATCAAAAAGTTTCCTGACTGGCCACAATACAAACTACTATAATTAAGACAAAACTCCTCTGGCAGTTGGAGCTAGGGTACAATCTGCTGGGTTGTCATTCTTTTCAAAGTTTTAACTTGCAACATTCAGAAGTAACACATTCTGAAGTGAGCTCATGAGTCATGCCATCTGAAGTTTGTTTTGTCAGCAGATCAAAGGTTTCATGTGTGCATCAATTTCTACTTCAAACTGAACAGAAGTGCCACATAAATTCACAAGATATTAAGACTGGAAAAGTGATGAGCTCTTTTAAACACAGCTACATCATGAGATAGAGGAGGCATGCAAAAGGTAAAAGGTAAAGCTGCCCCTGTGCTTAATTACTTAAGCACTATGCCATGAGGACATATGGAGGAGTGGAGGTATAGCTCCATCTTTCTTGACCTCAGAACTACGAACAGATGGAGTGAATGATCAGCTCCATAACCATGTTGATTTACAACCGGGAAAGACACCCCGATACCCATTGCATAGGAGGCTGGGTGGGCTCCAGAGTCAATCTGGACACTGTGAAGAAGAGAACAATTCTGCACTGCCAGGAATTGAAGCCAGGCTGTCCTGCCCATAGTCCATCACTCTACTGACTCCTGGTACAGCAAAGGAAATAAGTGAATACCTGAGGATTATTTTTGTTTTGTTCTACCTCCAACTATATTCAAATCCACTTTGTTTTCGATGCTGCATACGAGCAATGCTGATTTTAGTTACTGCAGTATGCAATGAACTGATGAAAATATAAAATCCCCACCTTACGAACTCATACTTCATTAATTTGTGTATAGTTTTCCAATACCTAGCCATATGCATAAAAGAATCATGTCCGGTGGCAGGCCTTGGTATTATTAATTAACAAACACTGTAAAGTATCATCAAATCTAACTACTGAGTAGTTTACTTGACACCCAATGATCTAGGATGACTGTGAAATATAAGTACTGTTGAGTTTGAGGGTTTCTACTCTTTACCAATCAAATACAGAAAGGAAGAAACCCCTGCAAGCCACACACACACACACACATATATATCAACAGTTCATAACAAAAACCTGAAGAAGTACCACAGCCCACCATATTCAGAATGTGAGGGAGAGTCAGTAAACAGGTCACAAATAGAAGTAAAACAGCTGTAATGGATATAAAAGATTTTCTATGCATATCATTAGGTAGCAGCACAGCCCAACTTCATGACAGTCTAGGAAGCAGACATGCATGTGCATGTTAAGAGGCTAGTTTCAGTAGTCAGAATGGCAACCATACTTGAGGAGTATCCTACCAAAAAGCAGCGTTCTGTTGTGTTTTTGTTAGAGCATCATTCTGTTGTGCATTTTCTGCGGACAAAAGGACTCAATGAAAAGGATATTTAAAAAGAAATGTTTCCTATTTACAGTGGGAAGCACGTGTCGCGTGAAGCAGTTCACAACTGGGTCAAGAAATTCTCTCAAGTATGTTTGAAAGTCACAGATGATGCCTGACCAGGTCACCCTGCTGAGATTGTGACAGCAGCATCTGTGCAATGCGTGGAACAGTATGAGCTAACAGGAGGACACAGTGTAGCAACTATACTAGGGTGTTCACATGGTTTAGCATACAGCATAATGCATGATCATTTGAATTTTGGAAAGTGTGCACACAGTGGGTGCCCAGAGAACTGAAGGATCGAGCTGAATGAACCAAATGGGTCTGTCCTTGCAACATCTCTTATGGTATGCAGATGAAGGAGAAGATATGCTTAACAGGACTGTTACTTGGGGCGAATCATGGATGCATCATCACAAAAGTGAATCAAAAACTGCTTCAACGCAATGGAAACATCCCAGTTCACCTTCAACAAAAGAGCTCAAAGTTTAAGGTATGCTTACTGTGTTTTAGAATTCTCATGGAGTACTGTTAGTCCATTTTCAGAAGTGTGGTGAAAATGTGAATTCCGTATTGTAGTGTGAAGTTCTGTTGAAGCTTCTGGATGCAATTAACAGAAAATGTCCAGGCCAACTGGCAAGAGGGATACTGCTTCATCATGAAAATGCCAGACCCCATACAGCCCAAGCAAACCCAGGAGAAAATTCAAGAACTAGAGTGGGAATTTACAGCCCAGACTTGGCCCCTAGTGACTTCCATCTGTTTGGTCCGCTAAAAAAATAACCCTGGTGGCAAACATTTTGCTGATGACAAAGATGCTGAGACAACACTCAAATGACTTCTGTGCTGACTTCTGATGCATTGGTAGAGCAATGGGACAAATGTATCAATGCTGGTGGAGGATATGTCAAGAAATAGATGTTTTTTCCAGGTTAGAATATCACATATTTTATGTTTTACATCCATTTGAGACCTATTTACTTACTCTCCCTCATAATCACTCAGGACAGACATGATCCTTCTCCTATGGGAAATCAGACAAAAAATTAGCACTATGCTGTCCGACACTGAAAAAATGTGATATGGCAATGTTCCATGTCACATCACTGCACTGCATGAAGTTTACCAAAACCATACTAAATATACCCATATTAGTAACAATTCTGTATTAAAATTATTATATTTTGAACAATGGTGGAAATTAAAGAAAAAAATGTCCAGTGTTTTACTGTACTAATCAAAAAAAATTCTCACTCACTGAAATGCTGGGAGAGATGAAGTCCAATATTCAGTGACTGAGGATGTAACACTGCTAGCTGGCAAGGCAGTGTATGATGAGTATGGAGCAATGATAGCGAGATGATTAGCGAGTGAAAACTGAAGCAGCTCAGAGAAAAACATGCTTCAGTGCCACTTCATTCACCACAAATCACATGTGAAGTCACCCAGCACTGAATCAGAGGCTCTGCAGTGAGAAGACAACACCTATCAACTAAGATGTGGCATGGCCTCTTTTGTACACATATTTGGGCAATAATCTTTTATGTGAAAATGGGTAATCAGTATTACCATAAAAGCAATATGTCTTTAGTGACATGTTATTTATATATATTTTAAAGAAAAAGTATATTTCAAAGAAACAAATTTTGAAGAAATATTGTATTACATGATTTCATTCAATGTAGCTCAATCTCAACTATGAAGACAGCCATGCAAGTAACCAAATAGAATAATCCTATTAACAACATACAAATCAACTACAGCAGTGTACTGGCACATTAAACCTAGTTTTCATCTCTTAAGTACTATTATTACCTCAGTTACTGTGCACATTTAATGTAAATTACAACAGATGGAATAATATTATGATTCTAATAGCCCTTGAGATTATAACATTGTAACATGTCAAAGCATTGCAAGGCAATGGCTTGATAAGCATCCCACAATATATGCACAGAACAATGTGGTTATGCAACTTGTTTCTAAGCAATGGCTCAAACACACACTTCCATGTTGGCGGTACCATCACACAACAGTGGACAGCGACCATGTGATGTGTTTTCTGTAGGTCCAGCCAGAGCGCCAATGGACTGGTTGGATGGCAAGCATGTGATGTGTTTTCTGTAGATCTGTGTCTGTGCTGCGTCTATACAGAGTATCCCAGGAGGAATGTGCCAAACTTCGGGAGGGTGTTCCTTATGTTAAAGTATGCCGATATAACCCAAAACACCTATGTCCAAAGTTGAACGGTTATGGAGATAATGGCCAGAGAAGTGTGAAACTTTGACCGGTGTTACACACTTGTTGATTACAAAATACATATTAAAACTGGCAGGAATATGTGGTTTCTGTAATGTTAATAATGTACGTAACATCAAACTAACTTGTGAGTGACATGAAGCCATAAAATTGAAGTAGAAAATACTCGCTTGCCATGTCATAATTGTCCTTAGGTTTCCAAGCACTATACATGACACATGACTGGCAAGCGCTGACGTAACATGGCTGACTGCGCTATAAGCAGACTACATAACTGTATTAAACGTACATTCACGGAAAATCTCTTTTGGAATTTCATTTCCATTATCTCATGTGGATTATTATGGGACCACGTATGCACATTTCGTAAATTATTTACACCGTCCCGGGTAAAAGACGCCTCATCACTGAATAAAATGACGCTTAACAGTTCGGGATGAGCTTTTATCCAGTGGCACAAATCCATACGCTGAGCATGGTCGCCTGGTTCCAGATGTTGTACCCTTTGATCATGGTAAGGATACAACTCTTCATCGTGTAAAATTCGCCACACCTGCATACATGATACGCCGATGCGAGAGGCCATTCTATGAGTGGACAGACGCGGACTTCTCTGAACCATCTCAAGAACATTCTCTCGTGTGTTTATCATTTGTACATCCTCCCTTTCAGAGTGTACAAAAACACTCGGAAGAGAACCAGTATCACGCAATGTCTGGTGAATTCATTTAAACACACTTCGACATGTAATCCTTCGATCGGGAAAACGTCTTTTGTATTCTTCAACAGCAGCACGTGCATTGCCACCGCAAAATCCATACACAAAATGCATATCACAATATTCCACATGTGAAAACACAAAAGGCATTTCAGCAACTCCACACAATTAACCTACCACCCATTCACAATGCTGTGGCAACGTACCCTGAAGGTAGCGCACAAGCTTATGGCTAGTGAATCAACACACTCAAGGACAAACAGATAAGAGTGGTCAGCTTACAGGTACAGTGCGAAGACCCGCCAGAAGACCACACTTTTCTTGGGCCATTATCTCCGTGACCGTTCAACTTTGGACATAGGTGTTTTGGGTTATATCGGCATACTATAACATAAGGAAGACCCTCCCGAAGTTTGGCACATTCCTCCTGGGACACCCTGTATAAGTGAGCAGAATTCCTAAGCTGAGTAGTAAGTGGTTGGAGTGCAGTGGTAAGCTGGAGGAGTACAACAAGCAAGCAGTAAGCTTGAGGAATATAGAAGAGTACAAGAAGTCAGCCTGCAAAGATCTAACATGTGATTTGAAGACTTTTTGTGTGCTGTAGCACAGTGACATTGGGAATGTGTGATTTAGTGAGACTTTTTTAGCCCTTGTTTTATAAATCTGTGAAGACTAGTGTAGAGAGACTGAAGAGATTAGCGTGGAGTGCTTTGCAATGTGAAAATCAGTAACAGTGTTACAATTATTTGCAGTTACGGCCAGTAAGTGGTCAATAAATCCAATTACCAATCTGAACCCCATCTTTAGTCACTGATACACGTGAAAATATTGTTTCATAAGCATTTCGCTTGATGGAAAACAGTACTTGATCAAGAAATACATAACATATTGTGTCATATTTGCTCTATACAGGAGGTGTTGAGCCACAGAGGCCTTGGGGCATGCGAACAATGAGAGAGTTGCAGACTGTATCGGCACATTGCTAGGTGGCAGCTCTGTAAATGCTTGGATTGTGCGACAGTGGGGTCATGTGACCTCTGCGTTACCGCAAGTGATGTTACATGCATCCCCACTGAGTCCATTGCTATGCAGCTGTAAACACCCTTCAATGCTAGGCTGTCATGTCATGGAACAGTCAGAGTTATCACATAACTGGTTTTCTATGGAGTCCATGCAGCAACCGTTGCTATGCAATCACTCAGTAAACATGTTCCAACAATATAGGCTGTTTTCTGCGTGCTCAGTGCGAAGGCTTATATAATGTTAGAGACAGAACAGACTCAGTATTTGGGAATATTTGAGAGTTGCGGAAGCAAGCGAAGTGGAACCAGGAATATAGAAGGCTGCCCTATGAGGATGTAAAGTGTGACTGGAAGATTTCATGTGTAATATTTGTAGTGATTTGAGAGACAGTTTCTGTGTGGAGATCCGTTGCTAGGAGACAACTAGTGGAAGACAGAGAATCCTAGTGCATGTGCAGTGGTGAACTGGAAATTTGTAAATCATTGATAGCGCTGTATTAGAATGTAATTAAGAGAGAGCATGTAACTGAGTGGTTAATAAACCCAATTACCAATCTGAACGGCGTCTTCAGTAGCCAAACATGTTCTAATATTTTATAATAACCTAGAACAAATAAAATCACAACAGAATTTTGATAATGATAATGGTACTAATGGTGATCAAATTCTTAAAGTGGGAAGAAATACTGAATAAAATATCAGCACAAAATACAAAAATGAATATGAAGTCTAACATTTAAATAGAATTTTATCACACACATAGCTACTCCCTTTTCCCAGCATCAGTGAATCTAAAACCTTCAGAGGAATATTTAGAATATCTACAATAAATATACATCTGAGACTGAAGCCAACCAAAAATGCCAGTATAAGCTCACCTCATTCTTAAGACTCATTTAAGGTATCTTTCATAGTCTGGCAACAGGCTCCTCGCCTCTCTATCTGCTGACCGATCCTAAACAAAACAGAATTCATAATTACATTAACAGCATTCTGACTCATTCATTTGGATATTAAACAAATGCCAGGCAGATTATATTCCTTGTTCAGTCAACGTACATTTCACTATCAAATATATTCTAACATGTTTTCTCTTGTTAGAGAACTAAAAGGTTCATCAATGTTATCAGCAGGCCACGCCATAGCTCAAGTGGTTAGTCGCTGGCTTCCCAATGTGGCGGCCCAGGTTCAATCCCGGGTCTGGTCAAGTAGGATTTGTGGTGGACAAAGTGGCACTGGTGCGGGTTTTCTCCGAGTACTTCGATTTCCCCTGCCAATCTTCATTCCATCAAATTCTCCATCATCATAATCACCTGGGGCAGGCTACAATAGGCTAATCAGTGGCCGCCGTGCTGAGTGGACCCAGTTGAACTCCACCCCCACTAAGTGAATTAAAAAAATGTTATCAACAGGAGCATTCCATTGGACTGTCCGTGCTGCAGTTACATCCAAGTCATATTATAATAATCTATTTCCCCATTCAATTTTAATAAAACTTAAATGGTTTTGGTCACTCAACTGAGCCCTTTTCATGATGTTTCAAAACCAGAATTTTTTATGCTCTGAATTATCACAATGGTACCATATGAACTTAAAGAATACAAGTCTGTATATTTGTCTGCACCATTTCTTCAACTCTCCATCCTCTACAGCCTACTTGAAAAGAAATTTGGTTACTGAAGTCCAATCATAACATTTAAATTTCCTGCATAGTAAGTTATCACATAGATGTTTTTAAGTCTCAGAAGTGTTTTATTTAACAAAATGTTTAAGAAAATTTCCTATTTAAAAGAAAACTATCCTTCCAAACTATTTCATGCATGCAATATTGTCATGTGTTAGAGCCTAAACACAGGGTTTGGACTGCTAATGGGATTTACTGAATACTTATAACTCCTAACTACAAATAATTATAATGCTGTTACTATGCCACATACTTTACAAACCACTACAGCATACATAAAGTCTGTTATGTCTTCACTGGTAGTTACTTGGTTACCATCTTCACTAGGTGCCCCTAGGTTACAGATGCTAACCAAGTCTTCTCATTTCATGCTCACACTGTTGCCAGCTCTCTGCTATCTCACAAATGGTCCTCAACTGCCCCAACTGTTGGCTATTACTGTTTATCGACTCACTGTCAATTACTACTGGCAGCAACTGATGGCATCATTAGCCATCACTGTCTATTCGCTGGTTGCTGTCATTCACTGTCTGGCTGTCATTCACTGTCACCTATTACTGACAGCAACTTGCCAAGTTGCCTCGATAGCTCCTACTATATAGCCTCAGCAAGAACTGCATAGAAAACACTACTCCCAACAGCTCTTCTACTGTTGTAGTGGGCAATTGCCTAGCAATGGCTTGCTTGCTTATCATGCAGTTGCCATTCAATGGGCAATGTTCAAGTGGTCATGTCACAGTATAAATCCTGATGTCATTGTGCAACAAATCATGTGGATTAAGCATACAATCTCCATAGGACATCATTCAATGTTAGCCCATTAAGACTAATGATGGCACAGAACATTCACTTCTGCTGGAATGATATGAGTTATTCTTTGCTTCTATGTTCACCATGTTAGACTGCGTTGTTAACATGCATAGGAAAATTATAACAGGAAGGTGTAAATGTTCTTAGTGTTGTATTGTAATGGGGTCCACACAGCCTTGTGAGGATAACTGAGGAGCTATTTCAAGGAAATAGTGGCTCTGGTCCAGAAAACCAAAATAAATGGCTGCGGGGACTCGTTGCGCTGACCGCACAACATCCTCCATCCGTTAAAGTTCGCACTAACTTCGCTGACAAGTAGCAGTTGCTCGATCGGTATAGTTCACTTGCAGACTAAAACCACAGTTTTTTGTTACTGTTTGTAGTGTTACTTTATACAATGACTTAATTGATAAAATCAAAACATGGTTGCATGTGTGATGAAGCAGAAGGTAATGATTTNACAAAAAAAAAAAAACAGAAGTGTTAAACAAGGTGGAGGCAAATTCAACTTCTAAACCTTCTGCTTGATATCATACGTATGTATTATCTATGAAAATAATGAGACACTTTTCAATTTTGTGTATCCTCTGTAAAATTCACATGAAAACTTCAAGTAAATTTCGTGTCACCATAATTGCCCATAGTTTAACCTTGACAATATTTTGTAAAAACAATAGAAGACGAAATGAAAACAAAACAGTTCCACATGTGTCACAATATTTCTACTATTCAAGGTTACCTTCAAGATTGGGAAATAAGAAAAGCCATTTAGAAGAGTTTTTGCCACACTAAACAACAGTGCTCAAAATAATCAAGAATACAGCCTAATTTTTACATTTCCCTTATAAGAAATATTCCCCTTAAGTATTCCTCTGGCTGGTCTGTTAAAAAACTTCTTCAGGAAAACACTGTATAAGCTCATTCAGCACTGTCAAAAATCTTCTTACTTCCATTGTCAGTTATTACAACCACAGAAAAATCTGCTTTAACCATAAGATAATACTTTAGGCTTAAAAAAAATTCTCCAAAGCTATGGGTCGCCTTACACATGAAGCATAAAACGTGAACCTTAAATTCTCAAATGCTACTTGATGTTTGAACAACTGCTCTATATCACTCAAATCCCACCAAAATTATTAGAGATTATAATAAAAGAATCTGTGATAGGATAGCATGAACAACAATTAACATAGCAGCAAAGTCATCGTCATTATATTGTCAGATCTTTTTTTAGGCATTAATGGTCTAGTGGTCAGCATTCTAATATACCATATTTACGCATGTATAGGCTGCAGCACAATTTTCAGACAGAAAAAATAAAAAAAAAAATATTTTTTGGAATATTAGTTCAGGAGTAGAACACCCTGTATTACTAATTATGAATATAATTTTTTTTTAAATGAAGTGTGATTTCGAATATTTCGAATATAAGCCGCACCCCAGTTTTCCTCTTGAATTTTTGGCAAAAAATGTGCGGCCTATACATGCATAAATACGGTAGTATTCAAAACGTCCTGAGTTTGATCCCAGCCATCACCATTACCTTTAAAATATAATAGAACAACAAAAACCTGTCAGTTTAGTGACAACCAAACCACTAAGGATGAGAGTACATCCAACTCTCATAACACCA